CTGGTGCTGGTGCTGGCGATGGCGGTGGTCGTCGTGCTCGTCATGTTGGCACGTAGCGGTGATCATCACCGTTGTAGTAGAGGTAGCAGCAGGAGTTGGATTATGTGTGGGGAGGAGGAAGGACTGGCAGTAGAAGTTGTGTCAAGAATAAAAGAGCACAGCACCAGCAGAGGGAGAGCAGGAATTTGAGGAGTCGCAGTCATCAGCGTTCTAGCAGTAGCAGTACTGCGGCTCTACTGTTGTACCGTAGTCATCGTAGCTGTTGTATCAGCACAAGAAGAAGCATAGAGCTTGGGGTGGTGGTGGCGTGGGGGTGGCGTGGTTACAGCAAAGGTGGTGGCAATGGTTGCGGTGGTAGCGGGGTTGGTGGTGGTGATATATAGCATGCATCTTCTCACAGCTGAGGAAGAACTTGGATGCGGTGGTTCCCATGACAGGCTGAGACCTGGCGCAGCAGTAACGCCAAAAGCCTTTCTGCCAATTTATTGGAAAGAGCATTCTTTTTGAGAAGCCAGGTGCCGGATTGCGGCATAACTTCTGGCCAACTCACTCGGATAAACCGGCACACGTCAAGGTAGGAACCTGGATGCTCCGGTGTGCGGCAGGCGTAGAGTCGCGCATCCCTGTGGGGTCTTGCAGTGAATCTCAGAATATGCCTCGAACAAAATGCACGATGTGCAGCCCACGGATAGGACAGTTTGTTACTTAAACGACGTGAGTATCCAGGGTGCTCCTCACGAAGTCTCCTGGAGCATGGCAGAGTACCCATGCTCCACAGTAGGTCGAACTTGCTTGGAGGATCTGTCCCGTCAGACTTTTCTATAAAAGACATGATTGCCTCCTGTTCCTGGGCAGAAGACGGGCTGGCGCCTCTGCACTCGGACTTTGTTGGCGGGAGACCGGGCCGTCTTTTCAATGGTGTAGAATGTAGAAACTGCCTTGGATGTAGATGACGAGGTTGTTGGGCGTACTTACGGCTGGACCGTCAAAAGCTTTGTATACGAGACCAGCTGCACTTCCCAGTTTTATTTTAACCCCAGAACTCAGGCAAGCTGCGAAGATCGTGGCAAGCTGGGTGGGGCAGGGGAAGGGTGGCAGGTAGCTGTCACGCACGGGTAGAGATCCGCATCAGCTCTTGGTGCGAGAGCTCTGAGGTGTGTGACAGTTCCTGTGCAGCATTGGCTGCCTGAAGTATCCTTCGAATCGTTTGAAGCCAAGACAGCGCAGCTGCACGACTGACTTCTTGCACTAGGTCAAGTAGTTGGTACTGGAACCACGATCGCGAATGCGAGGCAGGGCAAAACTTGTTCTTATGTGGGTTGTCTTCTCAATCTTCTCAACAGCTAGCGTTTGCACCTGTGATGCCAGAATCTCAGACATTTCGCAGACCGCCGCCGGCTTGCTCTCAGCCAGCTGAAATGGCTTGGGCAAGTCTTCTACATCCCAACTTTAAAGCTCCTCGCATCATGCCCCAGCTACCTGGACAGGCCCGAACAAGGAAGTTCTCAAGAGGTGGACTGGAGACAGGCCAGGCGCATACCAGCAGCGCAATCCCTCAACTCTTGAGAAACCATCTTTACGTTCCTGCGCTTTCCCGATGTGCGCCCTGTGGCCAAAGTAGCTGCCGGCAAGTGCGGCCCTAAGTGCACCTGTCACCAACCAAGTTCGGAAGCTTATGGCCCAAGGCTTGAACCCAATGGATGGCAGACAAGCCTGGCAGTACTCCAGAGGTTGGCGGAGCGGAGCCATCACGAGTAGCACAATCCAAGGAACCGTGCTGACGCCAAGGGCTGGGGGTGTGCTGGCTTGAGTTAGCCTGACTGGATGTCTCCTCAGGTTCTGAGCATGCGTTTCTTTGAGCAGATCTCCTCGCGGTGTTGAATGTAAATCCGTGGTATGAACGCAGCGCCAATCTCTGCTGATAAGCTACAAGGATAGTCTAATGCCTGGTCTTGTAGGCCCCTCCCAAACTTGCACGCTTTGCGTTCTTCTTCTTCTTCTTCAATCCAAGCCCTTCTTGCAGGCCCAAACTGTCGGGCCCTCCGTGCTGCGAGGGGCTGTTTGTGCCACTGCTGCCGACAGGCCTGACTTCTCACTCGTTCATGTCAACTAGATTTGTCTTTTTCTCTCTTTTCATTTGTGCCATGGGCAGGTGCCTAGTCGCATGGCGTCTGGAAGGCGGAGTTTGGCAACCCTCCGAACTCCGCAGGCCCTGGAAGCCACTATCGTAATGCTTTTCGCTACCTTCCACATCAGACTCAATGCCTCACGTGCCAAAGCTAGCGCCAGAACCATCATGAACTCCAAGTTTCTTGACCAAATCTCACAGCCCAAAACAATTTGGTAGTTTCCCAAAATAGGGGGACCCCAATATAGACCCCAAATAATCCTTAAATAGGGACCCCCAAACTGGTACTCCTAATTTTGGGAAATTCCCATTTGGGACCGTCGGCCTGTCAGCTACTCGTCGCAGGGCCCAGGGCTACTTCACAGACGTGTCGCTGAACGACGCAGCCACACATGTCGCCTCCGCAGCCGAGACAACGGATGCCCGACGCAATTGGTTAGCAAAGAGGTTGCTTTTGAGCTCAAGGGGTGCAACTGCTCTGTACAGTGTAATTGTACTCAGGGAGAAGAGACATTAAGCATGCAGAGCTGAAGTGCTGCCAATAATTCCTAGAACAACCTTTAAAGAATGAGGTTGCCGTGGACGCCATCTCAGGGGGGTGCTCCTGGACGTGCGCTTTTTCAAAGCCAGCCATGGCCTCGGCACCTCCAGAACCCCTTGGTCTGTGCATGTTGACACAACAGATGGACCTGAAACCCTCAACCTTAAACCTCAAACCTGAGCCACAAACCCTGAACTCTGAAACCCTAAACATGCACCTCCTTGCAAGCCTCAGGAGGCACGTTTGATGTGAGCATGCAATGCGAATGATACACTGCGCACAAAACACCTTGTGGCATCTGCGCTGCTAGGTGCTCAGTGTTGCCATCTGTCCGCAGTACGCAGAGGCAGGCTACGTAAAGAGCTTAAACGTAACCAAGCTCTGGTAGCATGCGTAGGTGCTAGTCTGGCTGCGAGTTTCTGGGCACACGCAGAGCCGTAATGCAATCAGCTCGAACAGTGCGCTGCGGTATTGTGCTTTGGCAGGCTTCGTTGGGCTTGCGCGTGGTGTGCGCTGGCGGCGAGGACCAACCACCACCTTCTAAACCCGAATCATCTACCAATCCGCACTAACAAAGCAAAAGCAATGAACATGGAGCTCGACGGATGCACACACTGCTCGCAGGACGGCAGGCTCATCCTCAGCCGCCGCGGCTCCCTGGCAACTGGGCAAGAAGATTTTTGAGTCGGGCCTGTCTTGCAAATGTCCGCCACTCAGGAGACACGGCATGCAACTCTCCATCATGGCGAGGCCAGGACAGCCAAGAGCTGGTTCGTGCTTCAGTCTGTGCGTCGGTAGCTTCGCTGTTTTTTTTAGTCTCGCTATTATTAGTAGTAGTACTACTACTATGACTATTACGATTACCATTCTCATTATTAGTACTATCATTACTAATGCTATAAATCTTGGTCTGCCCTGGACTCTGCAGGGGCCCATCACGGCCATTCGCTGGCGTGGAGGGCTCGTGGCCTGGGTGAACAGCAAAGGCGTGAAGGTTGTGGACGTGGAGACATATCAAAAAGCCACTCTGCCTGGTAATGACATGGAGAGAGACAAGATTTACACCGGTGATACAGAAAAAATGGTTGAATTTGAGTCAGAACTCTGGGGTAGAGTTGTGCACAAACAGAAGGTGCAGGCACAAGCAGGCAGACGTTATCTTGCAAAATCCCCAGCACCAGTCTGTCCTGCTGTCTCGAGGTCAGTTATATCTCACGGCCGGACGGGGCGCAGTCCAGCAGCCTCTGCTGGCTCAGCGATGATGCGCTTCTCATTGGCTGGGAGCAGGCGCATACACCCAATTGTTGGCTGTACTTGTAGCATCTTATTCTGTAGCCGTTCCTCGGCGCAGCTTTGACATCTTCTCGTTGTTAGGAAATACTCCTGGCCGAGTTTCACTCAAAGTGTGCAGGTCAGATTAGAAAAGCTTTCTTTTATGAGTCCTTTTCTATCCTTTTCTAATCTTGTGTCTTGGTCAGCCTGACAGTCTTAAGCCTGAGGCTCGGGGGTCCATCGGGAGTGCGCTTTGCTCGAATAGCGCGGCGCTTTGCACTCTCTGGGGACTTTGTGCATAGCTTGGCGCAGCTAGCTCCTTGGTTGATACACGGAATTTCACGGGCAAGCGTGGAGAAGGCTTACAATACCCATTGCTTGTCCAGCCCCGCAGTGCACGGCTTCAAATGTCAAAGCCTTGTTGTGTAGAAAATGAAATACCCCTACTATAATATAGTAGTTTCCATTTTCTTTTCCATACGCAGAACGATACTCGAAAGCGGCGGCCTGCTCTGCCCCATCCTGCAATATAGGGGTTATATAGGGATAATGGAAAAGAAAATGGAAACTATTATATCATAATGGGGTATAGATTGATTGAGGGTCATGTAGGGATAATGGAAAAGAACATGGAAACTAGTATATTATAATAGGGAATCAATTGGGGGTTTTATAGGGATGACGGAAAAGAAAATGGAAACCACTAGATTATACCAGGGAATAGATTGGGGGTTATATAGGGATCATGGAAAAGAAAGTGGAAACTACTATACTGTAATCGGGAATAGATTGGGGGTTATATAGGGATAATGCAAAAGAGCATGGAAACTGCTATACTATAATCGGGAATAGATTGGGGGTTATGTAGGGATAATGGAAAAGAAAATGGAAACATTTTTTTTTGTAGTAGGGGAATTCATTGGGGGTTATAGTAGGGAATACGGGAATGCACCAGGCGGCAGTCAAGTTGATCCAGTCGCATCTCTTGCCCTGACCCACCCCGTCAAGATCTTTGTCAGGACAGAACACATCAGCCGAACGAGACCCTGTATCATGTTGGCCTCAACAGGAAGAGGTCTTCACTAGTTAGCTAGTTCGTGATTACAAGTGAACCTGCAGGATTGGAATACTTCAGATTTGGATTCCTTGCCGTTTTACCAGGGGTTTTTCACCTTTCGATTTCTAGTGCGCATGGGCCTAGAAATCCTGAAGCACTTTCAATGTTTCTATTTGGTGACTCTGAAGCTTCATGGTCTGCTGTGCACATGCGAAAAGTTCAGGCTTTGCAAAAGCTCTGAACTAAGCCCCGAAGCGAATGCCTTGGTTCACTCTCAACATCCAAGGACGCTGCGCAGCTCCCGAGACCACAAGCTCTCTGCGACGCGCTGAGGCTGTGGCCCAAGGCGGCCAAGCCTACGAAGATGCTCGGCTGACCCTCACCATTGCGAAAAACTCATTGATTGTAGCATTCATTGAGAATGTTTAGGAGATCGATTCATAGGGTGTTGCGACCCCCGCCCATTTTTGCTTCTTTTGGAGGTTGGTTCATTCTGGTGGACGTGGCAGTTTTGTATTCTTTCTGAAGAGAGCCCTTGACCAAGGCCCCTCATGGCCGCGCTGCAGCGAGTGCTTTCCTCAACATGCCTGAGTACGTCAATGTCCCAAAGGTCCAGAGGCTGCTGTATCATTCAGTCCTTCTGTGAGGCCCTAAAACCCGGCAGAGCTGAAGATGACGAAGGCTTGGTCGCATTGTCCTTGGTCCGGGCAGCGGCAATCATGCACAGCTTCGTAGGCCCTGCCTGGGAGCCGCAAGCTGAGAATTGCGAGGAGCGTCGCCTTGCCGTGCCACCTTCAGTTTGCACTTGCAAAAACCTTTGGTGGTCGAAGGAGTCGGGTGCTTCTGAAGTCCTAGCTTCGCTGCATGAAGCGAGAGGCCACTCCGCTTACAATCTTACGTGCGTGACTTTCTTCCCAAACTGTTTCGCATGCCTCGGGCTTGTGACGTATCCGCAGCTTCCGGAGCTAGGCTGATGGCATGTGCACGAATTTCCTGGAAAGTGTGAGTGAAGTGGCGTGGCCAAAGAACCGCCTAGGCCTGTCTGAGGTCTCATATAGATGTAGGTCCTTTTGCCACTACATTGCAGTTTGGCATGTTTGGAGCCTATGGCGGTGGCTGGCCTTTCCGCCATGAGCATGCGAAAGCAATGCACAGGGGGCGCTGTCGAAGTCATTCATTGAAAGGAAGTCAGGGCCTGGGAGTCAGGAAACACGAGGGCGAGAGTCGGGAAATATGCAGGGCAGGAGTCCGGAAACATAAAGGAGGGAGTCCGGAACCATGGAACCATGCGCTTAGTCGAGCATGCAAAACAGGATGTAAATGTACACCATTTTTTGCACAACAACTACATTCCTGAAACTCACAAACCATGCATGCCGAGCCCTAGACCCTACGTCAACCCTAGAACCCTGATGCCCTTAACCCTGAAACACTCAGACCACGCTTTTGGGGGTCCAGGCTGTAGGGTCTACGGAGTATGTGTTGCACCTCAGTCAAACGCAGGCAAAGACAGCTTTCAGCAGATTGAAACTCCAAAAACTACAGAAAAACTAAAATCACCGATTCTGAGCTCGATGTCGGATCCTAGGTCTTCGCGACAGTGACCTTAGCTTGGGGAGTGCCGGCACATGAACAGTCTACCAACACAATATTGGGGTAGGAAACATCATGTGAATTTACATGACGCTTCGTTCAATAATTCCTGACTCTCGCCTCCAGTCCTTCCTGACTCCACCCTCCTTTTTTCCCGATTCTAGCCCTCCTTCTTCCCGACTCTGACCCTCCTTAGTCCGACTCATGGCGAACGACTCTGCCAACACCCGCCGCACAGACAAGCGCATGGCGGTGGTGGCGGCGGCGCGCGGCGGCGGTGGGTGGTGATGGTGGGTGGTGATGGTGGGTGGTAGTAGTGGCGGAGGCGGCGGCAGTGGCATGGATGCTTCCACACAAGGCTTTATGAGCTCTCAGCTGATGACCCTCGCAGAAAGAAGCACATGAACCTTCATTCCCATGGCTTACACCCCGTCAGCCTTCTTACCCTCACAGGGCTCGTCCGATGATTCGGGATGGCTCTTGTGCAGGTTATCTCACAGACAGGATCCAATCTTTTGGGGGAGTGCTTCGGGACTTCTTCTCGAGGCAAAGGTCACAGCCTGCCTTCCACCCAGTTGATTCCCAGGTGATGCAACGTCGGCATTACGGCTGCTGGCGGCGGCTGGCAGCCGCGAATCCCTGGCATTGTTGCGAAGACACCTAGGCCGAGGCCCACGGAGAGGACTCGGAGGGAGGTGGCCTGTTGCTCGTTCGTTTTGAGGATTCCTTAAAGGGAAGAACAACTCCACCACAAGACCGTAATTTTTTTTTGTGGGGAAAAACGAAGATGTTCAGCACGAGCACCCTTTTGGTGGATTCTCTCTTGGTGGATGTCGCGTATGAACTGTTTGAAGTTCAGTGAGGTTGCTCTTGTTTGTTCTTGAGGTTTCTGCTTCGAGGTTGAGGTTGCAAGTTTGATGCTGGTTTGGGGCTTCGGGTTTGATTCAGGGTTTGGCTACTGTTTGGGGTTGGATAAGGGCTTAAGGTTTGTGGTTACTATACAGTTCACCGCCTTAGGGTTAGGGTTGGTTTCGAGTTCAATGTTGGGATGAAGGTTCAGTTCATGGGTGGCAAGGGCTTGAGGGTTCCCGTTTTCAGATTGGGATTGAACCAGGGTTTAATAGGCTTCAGGTGGCTCGTGGAAAGGGGCTGATCTTGAATCATTGATCAGTTGGGTTGTGCTGGTCTCACGCAGCCAATGCAATGGGATGTCAGATAGATCCATGTACGCATGTTAAATGTATACTGTATACATGTCGACATGTGAAAGAAAATGCATGAATGTATAACTAGAGACACACACACACATATATATATATATGTATATATACACACGTGCATACGTGCACATACGTATAGACACGAGAAGGATTTTGGAGAATCCTTCTTTGAGCGTCTACGGTCATTTTATGCTGACGTAGTCCTACTTCCAGAAACAAGGATCCACGATTTCTTCTAACAAAAACATCCCGCGGCTTCCAGGCATCGACCTTGGCGCCGCGGCGGCGCTGCCGCGGCTGCCCGATGCAGGATTTGGGCCGTTTTCTGAAAAACGCCTTCAGATAGGGAGGACCAAAAGGCTGGTGTGGAAGGGAGCCAGGAGCCTCCGTTCTTGAACATAATTTCCTGAGCAGATAGCTTGTATTGGAGTAAAAGTCTAAGCCCTCCCCCCAGCAGGTTGGCTTGTAGTCCCCATTTAGAAGAGGTTTCAGTCTTTCAGTAGCTGCGGGTTTGGCGGCTGAGCAGCTGAGGCTTGTTGGCTTGGACCCTGCGCAGGCAGTTGACCTGGCGGCGCAGGGCTTATGCACAACAGGTTTTGAGGAGTAGTATTGGAAGCCGGCCTGGATCCGTAACCTGAAGCATTGCTTCAAGGTTCACTTGAGAGGCTGTGTCAATGCAAGTCTGCGGGGCTTTCAGATTTGTGGTTGATGTGGCGCAAGCCGGGCGCTTTCAAGTCTCCTTGAAACCAGCTGTGATGGTCTCAGAGAAGTACATATTGGGAGCGACCATGTTCCCGCGTGACACAGTTTGGAATCCACAGAAGTCCCTATCAGGCCTGCACTCTAAAGTTTCCATTTTCTTTTCCATTATCCCAATACAACCCCATATAAACACCATAATCCCTATAGTTTCCATTTTCTTTTCCATTATCCCTATATAGCCCCATATAACCCCTATAAAATCCCCATGGTTTCCATTTTCTTTTCCATGATCCCTATATAACCCCTATATTCTGCCCCCCAGGCTGCCCATTCTACAAGTCTGCCACCTGAAGCTTTTCTGGCAGCGCTGGCTCCACACGGGTCTGCCTGGGAGCTGCGCTATTTGAGGTCGTGACCTGAGAGAACTTGTTCTTGAAGCTGTATTTTCCTCAGAGGTCATCCCTGTTCGTTGTGCCGGAAATTCCAACTGCGCGGTGGGTGGGGTGGCATTGTCTGGCATGTAGCACGTTGGTATTCTGGCAGCTCCGAAAAATGGATGCCACCCATGTAACTGGTCCAACAAACAGAACACATTATGGGCCCCCTGTATGTGGAGGGCCGCAGGCATTGAGATGCTTTGCCCTTCCTCCAAATGCGCTACCCTTCCACCACAGACAACCAGCTGAATTGTGATGTCATGCTCTGTCAATTGCTTTCGGTAAACTAAATATGCGCTTAAAAACTTGCAAAAGTACTCCTGAAGAGTATTGTTTCAGTGTACTCCTTGTTGTAGGCAGGAGCTAAGGCAGTCCCGTTTGCTGTGAATCAAGCTGCAAATGGCTGCTGCGGGGGGATCAGGCTTTCGGAGCTCATCTGCTGTGATGTCTTGGAACACACCACCCCAAAGACAGCGGGACATTTAGTGGTGGGTTCTGGCTCTTTGTAAGCAGCCCTGGCTGAGGAATCTTTACATTGCAGTGCGCCAACAATTGTTTGATATGGAGCCGAATGCTAGCATGCAGGGATTTCTCATGCCTTCTCGTGTTTTTCTTTCAGCAGGCATATGAAGGGCGTAGAATGTGTAGGACCTTCAGATTCAAGTCCTGCATTTCATGCCAGCATCGAGACGTCAGCAAGGAATTTGTTGCTGCTGTGCTGACGTATAAACGAGGAAATGTGATGTCCGGTGCAGAGAAGCTTTATCAAGTGTGGCGAAGATCAGGCTTCTTGCCGAGCGCGATCCAGAAGCAGCCATGCTTCACCGTGATCGCCTGCTGCAACTGACAGTCCGGGGCTAAGTGCTGGTGGCTGATGCTAAGCCGCTACTGTCCCTGTCAAGAGTCAGTTGAGACTTGCTGCATACGTTGTTTGAGCTGCATTCAGGCGGACCTTCGGCCGGATCAGCTTAGGCCTGTGCGTACTTTGCGTCAAGCCATCCCAAGATCTGCTTGAGCGCACCAGTGATGCTGCAATCTACTGGCAAGCTTGACTGTTCCTGCCTCCACATCTCGAACATCACGTGAACGACTTGCGGTAGCTTTTGCTGTATGCAATTATCTCTCTGCAATGCTAAAACGCAGAAGCCACATACCGGAACTTCAAAGCCCCATTTCTACGACAAAGCCTTTTGCATTTTTGAGGAAGAGGATAAGTTTATGCGAGGGACTCCCAGCAGAATCTGTTATTGTCCTTGTCTTAAATGTAGTAGTTACGCAGGAGGGAGATGTTTCGCAGGAACAAGCCTAGCACAACCCTTGATAGCTTCTCCAAGCTCGTCTCACAGCTCCGAAAAGTGCGGCATGCAGTTCGATGGAGCGAATCGGGCAGAGCGATGTGGCCACCATCCTGGGTCGACTTCACCAGGAGCTCAAGTCGCAAACGCGCGACAGCAAAGCAGAGCAGCACCAGCTCATGCGGAAGGCCTTCCATTATGTCACCGCCTCCTTGCATCAGCCGGGTGGCGGGTCTACTGGGGGCAACATGCAAGCACGAAAGCTGAGCGAAGTGACGCACAGGGTCCTTCAAGAGCTCTTCGCACTTCTGGTAGGCGACAACGGGTTTGCCCCACCAAGGATTCGAATCCTCAGCTCTGCGCTGGTTCGAGAGCTGTCCTCTGGCGAGGTTCCTTATTTCTTCCGCGACAACTTCGGTGGTAACTTTGACCACTACGATCACAATAAGGTGGTCTACTTCTTGCCTGTGCTGTCACAACTGCTCAATGCAGATCTTCTCATTAAGAACATTCCCAATCTAGTCATGTGGTTTACGAGTGAATCCACCAGCTTGAGCTTGAAGACTGCCGCCTTGGCCAATCTGCTCGCTGCTGTTCAGCGGTTTCCGAATGTCCTGGATCAGGACCAACACATCCGCCCCATGGAGGCCCAGTTCTGCAAGTTGCTGACAGGTGCATCGCTGGAGACCCGCAAAACAACATCCACCACCCTGTTTGGAGTAAGGATCATTTCGTCGTCTGCGTCCTGCAATGTGACGGAAGTTGATGGCACACCCACGCGCGACTTCTTCACTTGCATGAACAACTCGTATGATTACTCCGAGGATCAACTCCTGAACGTGCACATCTTCAGCTCTTTGTATTGCTGGTTGTTTTACCTCTACCAGGCACAGCTGCTGGAAACAAGAAAGCGGCAGAGCAGAGATGACATTGTTTCAAAGCTGGAGCACTATGGCCTGGTGCATGGCGATGCCAAAGGCGACGAACCGCACAACCAGCCTCAGGCAGGGGACAAGAGCTCGTTAATCGGGCACTTTACCTTGGATGAGGAGTTCCGGGAGGTGGTCATCAGCATTTGTCTGCGCATCCTGTCGCAGGTGGAGCTGGACATTGTGCGAGACGGCCCGCAGCAAATGCGTTTGGGGGCGAGATACGTGATCTCAGAGTTGGATTGGATGAGGGAGTTCATTGAGGGTGTGTCCATGGAGGCGGTTCGTATTCTTGATTTGCTCTGCCTGATGGATCCCTCCCTTGTGACTCGAATCTTCCCAGCTGTAAAGAAAGTCTACGAGCGGACTGCCAACAGGCAAAGTGGAGTTGTTTTTGCCGCTGTTCTCCAGTTCTTCGTGAACCATGGACAGCACGTGATCTTTGATGTGGATCCCGTGCTGCACCATTTCTTTGAGGATTACGTGTCAGTGCGCTACAGACAGCAACTCCTGGCAATGAGCACTCTGCTTTTCCTGACGACGAACACATCGAAGATGCTGCTGCACACTCCCGTCTTCCCAAAGTACTACCCCGCCATCATCAAGCTCCTCGTTTGGCATCCCCGGACGTTAGCTGAGGAAGTTTTGCCCATCGTCCCGGCCATGGTCGGCCCAAGTTCCTTCGCAGAACTCTTCCACACGCTTTTGGACCTACCGCTCACTGCGGCCTTCATGGAGCAGTATGAGAGACCAGATGAGCCCCATGCAGACGCTCAGATGATGCGCCTTGGGCTGGACAGACTGTCGCCACCCTTCAAGACGGTGCACCAGCAACTGGGATGAGACTTGGAAGTGGTTCCCTTTTTCAATTCTTTCTACACTTTTTGATTTTGATGGAGCTAGACATGTGCCAGTTCATTGAATGATCTGCAGCATGAGAGGTACATCATGCGGAACCAGGCGGGTGGTGTTTGCATCTGGGAAGCCAGGGATGAAGCTCAGCTGAACATGATCCGAGTGCTTTGGAACTCCCTCCCTGTGACTCCTCGCGTGTCAAGCGTTTGCAAGCTCGTGCCTCGGTTCTTGAGAGTGTACTTTGACGTGCTTCTGAATAATGCCCCGCCAGAATGCATTGAGAGGGTCGTGCCATTGCTCTTGCAACGGTTTGCCTCGCTTTATCCAGTGGACTTCTTCCTCAACTCGGTGCACACGCTCATCATCGACACGCTTCAGGCTATTTTCCAGCAATGGCCAGCTTTCCTGATGTCGCTGAAGCGGGAGGTAGTCCATGCCATTTCAACTCACTTGGATGTGCAGGGAAGGCTGCTGGTCCTCCATCTCTGTTGGATCATTGGAGAGCTGCTCCGGCCGCCCCATGAGAACGGGGGCCGGGCGGGCATAGCCATGTTCTTTGAAGCTTTGGAGACGTTGGCCTACCAGGCGATTTCCGTGCGAGCACCCGAGCCCGAGGAGGCGCATGCTGAGCCCAAGATGTCAAAGATGTCGGATTCTCGGGAGCCCGAGAAGGGCCAGGGCAGCTTGGAGGACGACCATTCGGGTGCTGCGGACGAGGGGGACCATGTGACTCCGGAAGCGGTCAAGGTGGAATTTGCAGGGGAGGCCGTCTTCTCGCCACGCTTTGTTGCGGTGATCACCGCATCCTTGACCAAGCTTGGGACAAAGTTTCCAGAGTTTGCTCCGCGCGTGGTGCTTTGCTTGCTAAAGATGCAGCAGCACTACGCTTCCGACTTTAGTGATGGTGTTGAATTTGTGCGAGATCGATTAGCGGACTCCTTACAGCTCCTCAGGCACTCTGCGATCTCCAGCTCAGTCTACAGTTCCTCAACGTTCCTTGGTCTGGGGACGGATCGCGCTCTGTCCTCGGTGTCTGCCCTTTCGTCCTTGGGCCATCTTTCTCATGATCCCTCCACATACACGTCTGGCGCAGCCTTGCATGATTTTGAGTTGCCCCATCAGCCTCCGAGCATCGCTGCCGCTCTTGCAGACGATCGATGGGAGGGCCGCGCAGCGCCCACGGCTGGTGCAGCGCAGAGCACAGCGCCAAAGAGCCAAGATGCCAGAAGAGGCTGAAGCTTTGCTTTGGTTGACACAAAAAGGAGCTTGCTTTGTCTGGTGTGCTCTGGTGACCGCTAGCGGCTGCAAGAAATGGATAGCTTCAATTGCCTCAAAAGCAAATATGCATCGCCAAGCCGGGAGGCTGACGCTGGCGAGGTGTCCTGCCAGTCCAGACCCGCAGGATGCACGGTGCCAAGCTGCAAGTCCAACAGCATGGTTGCGAATCGGTCCTAGAGAAGACACGTGCAATTCAGTGCGTGATTGAGACTTTCTATGTCAATTTAGGAGGCCACAGCTTCTCATGGCAGCAGCCTGCAGGCGCCCAGGGCAGTGGGCTCATCACCAGCCCCGTACTGGCATTCGGTGCGTGTTTGTCTCATGGTCATGGACAAGCATGACAGGCCGCATGGGTTGCTGGATCTCAAGATGCAGTGTCAGCAGCGCTGTGTGCGTCCTGGTGCTCAGATAGACAGACGTGTGATCTGAGTAGATTTCCTTTGCGTTCAAGAAAATGCTTAGCTCACAGATGCTGGAAATATGGAAAGCCTGCTATGGCAGCTCTGGGATATCCCTTTGCCCTAAGGCTCGGCTGTCCAGAGGAGGCCAGCTTCTCTGTCATCTCAACTAAGTCATCATCGTTGTTGGCATTTGCCTGCGACAAGAGGGGTTCTTTGGGCTTGCGGCATTCCTGCACCTGAAGAGTGTTCATGCCACCCGGACCTCATAATTACAAACAGAGATCACCTCTCCTGGCAGGCTTTCCACCTCCAGCTCTTTGAGATGGGAAACATCGAGGGAGCCTTGCAAGTGCTGGCAAAGGCAAGTGACTCTTTTCTGCCATTTTTGCACCTCATCTCAGCTGCCGCATGTATGCTACTTCCGACAGCTTGAATGGGTGCACTTCATTGATCATCATCTTGTCCGTGTGAGCCATTGCTATTCGAAGAGAGGTTCCTTGCTTGTCAAAGCGTGCAGTGCCTGACCAGCCTCACTTCGTCAAGCTAGAGCCTATCTACCTCCCAAGAATCTAGGTGAGCATGCTGTAAAGTGCAGCAGTAATCATTCGCATTAAGGGAAGCAGAGCTATTAATTCAATCAGTTGGCAACTGCGTAAAACTCGTAGCGCGCTGGTTAAAGCTGGCTTCAAGCGTGAAAGGCCCAGCTGCCTGAAGAAAAAGAGCAAGAGTAGCGGCCCCAGAGCCTTCTCTGAGATCAGTGAACTGGAGCCTTCTGCGTGACAGATGCATGAGGCTCCGCCAGGAGTTGATCGCAACTGCCACGCAAGATGCTGGGGACTGAGAATCCCCTTTTAAACATAAGGGTCTCAAGCCCAGGGGGAGCCTGCCACCTGGGAGACCGGCTTTTTTGCATGAAGTTTCGGCATGGCAGTTCAGACAGCTTCGAACACAAGTGTTGCAGCATCTGGCTTTGCGTAGGCTGTAGGCCTGGATTAGAGTTCCTTGAGGCTGGTGATGTGCAGACCCTGATGTCCTTTGATGGCTGCCAGGGCCACCTCTTTGCCTCATTGCTGCAAGCAGCCCTGAGCCCTTCCTGCGGGATGCCGGGCCTCAAGGCCACTTTCCTGGCTCACTGCCTTCGTGGTGTTCCGTCAGCCCAATGTGCAAAACGGCGTGTGCCGTGGTAAAGTGCCCAGTGAGCGTGCGGAGGGCTTTTGGATGGCCAGGTCTCTGCTCTCTTTCAGCAGCTTCCACCAGGCCCAGCCTCGAGCTTTGTTCCCAGCAGGGTTCTCAAAATCTCGGCAGGCTTAGAAGTCCCAACGGCTGCTATTGCGCTGCTTCTGTCTCTGGCGAATGCCTCAGTAAGAGGGCCTGATCGAGTGGAGGAATGCTGTGAGGCTGCGAGTGGCCCGGAGGTTGATGCTAAAGATAGGTTTGGCATCCAGTTATCACGGAGTGTGTTCCTGTGCAGAAGTGGTCAGCCTGTTGACGTGGACAGGACTGCGACCTGCACGCTTTGGAGCTGAGAAGGCTGTTCTTGCTGTGGATGTGATAGTAGCTGTAGCCCTTCCCACACGCTCTGCGAGCCGACCCATCCAGCATGACCAAGACAACGATCAAGCTCAAGTTGGGCTGCATGCATCCATTAGCTGACACAACTGGCGCATGGCACAAGTCTTCTTGCAAGAGTCCTGAGCAGTGCTAGCCACAGCATCAACCACATCAGTTCGTTTCTTGTGGACAATCTGGAGGTGAACTATGATGCCATCATTCGTGCTTGTACCACGCGCCACATCGCTGTCCTTCTTTGCAAGCTGATAATTTATGGCTAATGTTGTATTTTGTGTTACCGGTGTTTTCACTAGTCTTCTGCTTGTCATGTTTGCCCGTGTTATTTCTGCAGTGCTCCACTGCTCTCTGGACCCTCAAAGCGCAAGCCCTAGAGCCCAAGCGCTGGGCCCTAAATCCTGAACTACGTGAGACTGGTGGTTGAGGAGTAAAGGTGCCATACTAAGCCTGATTGAGAAATAGCGATGAGGGTCATGTCTGACTCCTCCCCATTCATGCCACAAGCATTGACGAACTCAAAACTTCGGGTTTTCAGGCTTAAGCCCCAAGCCTTGAACACTAAACCCTAAATCCCCAACCCGAAGCTTCGAAACCCCAAACCCGAAACAGCTCCCCTCTTTTCTGCTTCAGGCTGCGCCGTCGTGCTGCTGAGGCTGCCTTGGCCTTGCAGAAGCGGCAGCGCCGTGGCAAAGCCATGGTAGGCACATTGCATCCTGTTACTAACACTGTTGGTTGTGGATTAGGGGTTTTGGGTTTTGGGTTGTGGGCTTAGGTTTTGAATTTTTGGGATGTAGCGTTTGTTTCGTGATTGGGTTGGTTGAAATCTAGGGTCAGATTGAGGACCTGGGTTGGTTTGGACTTTGGGTTGATAGCATTCAAGGGTAAGGTAGCATTGGCGTACATGGCTCTATACATTGCGGTCGGGAACAGTGGCCGGAATGGCGCCCGCACCGCCCGCACCGCCC